AAAAAAAAAAAATTCAAAAAATGGGACTGTTCTTTTTACAACGGTTGTTAAACAAACTCTGCCATTATGAAATGAACATGGTGATTGTTAAGTGAATCCATTTTCTCCAATAAGCATTTTTATTGGCACCAAGAAGTCAGAAACCAACCAAAAATGGTGCAAATCATGGTGATGTGACCGTGGAATGCTGGAAATGGCATAAAGTGAACCCGTTGCCAAGTGCCCAAAATGTGATCAGGTTGTAACTCCAAAAATGTGTTGTAAGTAGTTTACAGGAGGTCCATCTTAACTTTGAACAATAGTTAATAACATGTCGTAAATTGAGGCCTTTCTGTACTTGATCCTCTTTTTCAAGGTAAAAGGCCTTTGATCTGAAGAGTAACTTCCTTGTATTTCATCATGCCTGAAGAACCCCCCCCCCCAATTCCCTCTTCTGCTGAGAAGAGCTGCCTCCTGATGAAAAATCTTCTGCTACCGTGTTTCCCCGAAAGTAAGGCCTAACCCCGAAAATAAGCCCTAGCTTGATTTTTGGGGGTGGGCCTAATATAAGCCCTACCCCCAAAATAAGTCGTAGTTTTGCGGAGAGGCACACACCTAAAAATCAAGCTAGGACGGGGGTGGAGGTGTGGAGCTGCCCCACACATACCACACCCACTTACCTTGCAGCCAGGCCTCTCCTCACTGGTTCACTTCTTCCGTAGCATCTTCTGCATCCAGGCCTGCATTTCTCAGTCACAGGCCTTTCCAGAAGGCCTCTGCAGCTGAGAACCGAATGGTTCACCTGGTTCACCTTTATGCCATTTCCAGCATTCCACGGTCACATCACCATGACTGAATCCATGGCTCACTTCTGCAAGACCTCTGCAGCCGAGAACTGAACTACGGATTGAATCCATAGCTTGGTACTTGGCTGCAGTGGCCTTCCGGAAAGGCTTGACTGCAAAATGTAGGCCAGAATGCAGCTGCAGAATAAAGCTGCTCCTTCGGCCAGAAGTGGACCGCCTAGGTGGGACTGTCGGTGCCAGAGGTGAGCATAAAAGACATCCCCTAAAAATAAGACCTGGTGCCTCTTTTGGAGGCAAAAATTAAAAAAAATAAGACCCGGTCTTATTTTTGGGGAAACACGGTATTCCAGAAAAATATGGCCCAACATTTAAACTTCACTGTTTATTTAACTTATTAAAAACCCATCATGAGTTAAATGTGAAGTAAAACTTCCATACCTCCATTTCAAACTCACCTTATCAACTCTTTCTAAATTGGCACGCAACTGTTTTTGGAGATTATAGAGTGTGGACAAGGAGAGATTATCTAAATCAGAGAATGAGCGCAGGAACTGGGGGTCCTGGCCAGTATGGATCTGCTCGATTTCTTCCTGGAGTTTCTTGACTTGCAGTTCCAAGTTCTCTCTCTGCTCCCGGGCAAGCTCACATTCTAGGGTTGCTGTACTAGCACGATCATTAGCTTCCTCTGCTTCTTTTTTCCATGCATCACAGGCCTGTGCATCCAAAGTAAAATAATATTAGTAGCTTCTCTTAATCATTTCATATGAGAAAAAAAATAGGTATTTCTAGCCAACTGTACTTTGGGGACAGAATTCTGTCACATCCTATGCCTATCCTTTCTGAAATATCCTTTCAAATACCTTGTATGCAGATCAATTTTCCTATCTGTACAAATTCCTGCCAAGCAAACCCATTCAAACGTGAACATTATCAGATAAATGCAGGGCATGTTTCTAAGAAAGTCTGCGGAGCACATTTAAGTCTGCTTTTTGTCTTACAAGTGTAGACACATCAATTGGTTTAGAGCTTGGCCAGCACTTCAAACCACTTTTAGAGTAAGTACTCCATTTGCGTCTGCTCATTGGGGGGATAGTAATTGCTCAGAGGTGATTGGCACACTTTTGTGGACATGCACCTTCTCAGTCGGTGAACCAAAAGGGACACCAAGATTATCTAAGAGAACCACCTAAACTTTAATGTAACTTTTATGCTGAACAGAAAAGAACAGCAGCAGTCAGGCAGCAATTTCTCCAGCCAGTCCAGGGATCAATCTGGTAAGAAGAATCCATGTGATTCTTCCCCAACATAGCAAGAATCAAGGAGTACTTTCACAGTATGTCACCTGACCTCAGAGAAAGTGTAATCTCATTCAGTTTCAAGAAAGATCTTTTTCTGAATCTATGTAATGTTCAAGTGTTACCCCTTATTTGGGTAACACAAAACAATAAAATAAAGGCACTTGTTCAAAATTGCAGTTGATTACTTCCAGCAGTTAGGTTGTGTCTACGGGTAGTTCTCAATTTATGACTGCCATTGGGGCCAGAAATTTGATCACTATGTGGGTCGTTAAGCAAGTCATCACATGGCCAGACCATTGTCACTGTGCATTAAGCAAATCACCTGATCACTAAGTGAATCATGCTGTTCTTAAATGAATCTGGCTTCCCCCACTGATTTGGTTGTCAGAAGCTGGCTGAGAAGGTCACAAATCACTATTTTGAGACCACAGGATGTTGCAACAGTCATAAACGTCATTCAGTTACCAAGTGCCCAAATTCTGATTATGTGATAGTAGTGGTGGTGTGGTAGTAGTAATTTTGAGGTTGGGTCATAAGTCACTTTTTTCAGGGCCATCGTAACTCTGAACCATCATTAAACAAATGGTTGTAAGTTAAGGACTACCTGTATGTCTTTATATCTATATCTCACTTAAAGAACTGGTCAGACTTCTGTGATGCTAAATTAAGACCACCTTACAACACCTTCTGGATATAATCTAACAACAGGATATGACTTTGAGGATGCAACTCCACTACGCTGCAACTATGGTTGACAATTCCAAGAGAACCAATGGTGCTGTACTCTCTGCATCCAGCTCCCAGAAAGGTTATCTACCAAAATTGGCAAAGCAGCCTTAGTTTCATCGCCTATCTCAGTGGTGGCGAACCTATGGCACCACACGTGCTGTTGCCCCAGCCTCGCCTCCCCCCTTGACCCCTCCTCTCCAGCAGCCCCCCTGAAGGAGAGTCACCCCTGAGCGTGGCCCACGCGGAGCAGCTCAGCCAAGGACATGGCAGCCAGGCAGCGTAGACAAGACTCTGCCCTCATACCCCATCGTGCACAGTTGATGCTGCAGGGCGCGGGCAGAGGGCGTGACCGCCATAGCGCTGCTGGGCTGCCTGGGCAATCTGCGGCGGGCCCTGGAGGTGAGTGGCCCTGCGGGCAGGTGGGGTGGGGGATGGGGCGGGGCAGGGGGTGGAGCAGGGGTGGGGCCAGTTTTTGGGCACTCGGTCTCTAAAAGGTTCGCCATCACTGGCCTATCTAAAAGCCAAATAGTTCAAATAATCAATATTAGCTGATGTTTCTAGAGGAATTTCCACCTCATACCCTCTTATTCCCCTAGGTCAAGAATAGTAATATCACTCGCTGCATCAGTGAGATGGGCAGCATAAGAATTTAACAAATAAATAAAATAAATAGTATATTGGAGACCGTGAAGGAAAAGAGAGTATCATTTTAGAGATGAAGCACAAGTTAAGCTGCATGAAACCTTTAGGCAGATGAATCCAAATTCAAATTAGAAAAGCTAAGACTCATAGAGCAGGGTCCCCAACCCGCAGCCCACTACCGGGCTTTGAGTCATTCAGAACTGGGTTGCAGAAGTGGCGGGCAAGCATGCATGCACATCCCCACTTGCGCAAGCAGCAGGCAAGTGTGTGCATGCATGCTCCATTTACGGAACCATCCCCTCCCCCCCCATCAGTCCGCAAAGCCGGAAAGATTGGGGAACTCTGTCATAGAGGAACTCAAGAATGTTTGTGCTGAGCATCACAACTTGAAATCTACTCCTCTGCACACCTAAGATATCCATCTTTTTCTTTGTCCATTAGTAAAAAGATCTGTGGCGAGTTTACATTACAAAATCAATTAGGCCAGCTGAGCTTCTGTCTACTTTCTTAGATCCCAAATTACTCATTACTCTAGGGTTGCCATCAATGCTTTAGGAAACCAACCAACCAACCACACACACACATGCATACACCCTGCCAACCACACTACCTGTTTGGCTTGTTTCCAAGAATCTTCCCACTGTTTTATCGTGCTGTTAGCTTCGTCTAATTCTTGCCGCAACCTGGCCAGCTCAGCAGCACCTGGACCTGACAGAAATGCAGGTGAAGTACTGGGTGAAAAACTTCCTGAAGCAAAATGCTCCCATATGCTGCTGTTCATTCCATTTAAACCTGTTTCATGTGGAGATAAGAAAAACATGTTATTTCACATTTCTTTTTCTCGTCCCAAACTATTTTTTTGACAACTAGAATAGAATGCTGCCATTTTTTTTTACTGGGCAATACTGCATTTGAAAACCGTTTGGAGGGATATGCATGTATTTGCACTGTCAGTCTGCCCCTTCAGCTTTAGCAAAAAAGAATGGCAGCTGACAATCTTGTGCAAACGATGCCCAGAAGCAGTTTTGTAGTACACTTAATCCACAAATGCAGTATAGATAGATACAGGATGCATTACCTAGTGCAGATTCACACAGAGCACATGAGGAACGAATATACCATAAACTCTCGGTAAAGGCTTAGGCTTCAGGGAACAGCAATCAGCGCACAGATGCTTAAGAACAAAATGAAACAGTCACCCATTATTTCATACTTTGTTAATATCTTTAGGACGACATTTGATGCCATATTAAGATAGATATCTTTAGAATTCTGGCATGATCTGCTGTCTTTTACCTGGCCACTCCTGATTGGCTACTCTTGCTAGTAGGAACAGTTAAAGAAATCACTGAGATCCATCCATTAAATGCCAATTGAAAATTCTGACTTGTTTAGCTGTAAAGAAGCCAGAATCATAACATATAACAAACTATGGTTGATATGTCTTATTAGGAAAGAAATAAAGACACCTCAGATCACACATTAAGGAAATGAGAGATGGAAGAATCTGAGTTTGTTTAGCTGCTCCTAAGGGCAGAAGCCAAGTTAAAGTACGAAGCATCAGCATACAGCTAGTTCATGATGCAACCAGAAGTCTAAAAATTTGGATCTGAATATGTGTTGGCACTTATTCAAATTTTCTCTACCCATTTAATTTTGAAAATACACTCGACACACTCTTCTTAGTATTACATCCTCTATATCACAGTATCTTCCTTTTTAGTTCAAATACACAATTGCTAATAGACCAAAGTTCCCTCTGGACATTTCATGGAAAAATTATAATAGAGTATATTAAACTATAGTACTGTTATTTCTGTTGTGTTGTTATTCAGCATCAGTTAATTTAAAATAATGTAGAGAGTGCCCTGAACTAATCTGAGAAATCTTTTTATCACAACAGACCAATGTGTCTTTAGATAAGGCACTGGAATGAGGCACAGAATCTGCTATTAAGGGGAAAAGATATACCACCCACTATATTTTATAGTATTTAAAGTGTGACTGTAAAAATCCATTATCACACAGAGATACTTCTGAGAGAGCAAGGACTGGCTAATTTGCTCTGCTGAGAGACATTGGTTTGTTGTTGAAAATGATATAAAGTAGGCTTCTGGATCTATTCCATTTAAGTTACAGCATACAACCATTCTGTATCTGGTGGAGATACAGATACAGGGGAAAAATTATTTGATCCCCTGTTGATTTTGTACGCTTGCCCACTGACAAAGAAATGATCAGTCTATAATTTTAATGGTACATTTATTTTAACAGTGAGAGACACAATAACAACAAAAAAATCCAGAAAAAAACATTTCAAAAAAGTTATAAATTGATTTGCATTTTAATAAGTGAAATAAGTATTTGATCCCCTATCAATCAAGTCAGATTTTTGGCTCCCAGGTGTCTTTTATACAGATAACTCCCTCTTAAAGGGAGTGCTCTAATCTCAGCTTGTTACCTGTATAAAAGACACCTGTCCATCAGTCAGATCCCATGGCCAAAACCAAAGAGCTGTCCAAGGATGTCAGGGACAAGATTGTAGACCTACACAAGGCTGGAACGGGCTACAAGACTATTGCCAAGCAGCTTGGTGAGAAGGTGACAACAGTTGGTGCAATTATTCGCAAATGGAAGAAACACAAAATAACTGTCGATCTTCCTCAGTCTGGGACTCCATGCAAGATCTCACCTCGTGGAGTTTCAATGATCATGTGAATGGTGAGGAATCAGCCCAGAACTACACGGGAGGATCTTGTCAATGATTTCAAGACAGCTGGGACCATAATCGAGAAAACAATTGGTAACACATTACGCCATGAAAGACTGAAATCCTGCAGCATCCACAAGGTTCCCCTGCTCAAGAAAGCACATGTATAGGCCTGGCTGAAGTTTGCCAATGAACATCTGAATGATTCAGAGGAGAACTGGGTGAAAGTGTTCTGGTCAGGTGAGACCAAAATCGAGCTCTTTGGCATCAACTCGTGTTTGGAGGAGGAGGAATGCTGCCTATGACCCCAAGAACACCATCCCCACCGTCAAACATGGAGGTAGAAACATTATGCTTTGGGGGTGTTTTTTCTGCTAAGGGGACAGGACAACTTCACTGCATCAAAGGGACGATGGATGGGGTCATGTACTTGTCAAATCCTGGGCGAGAACCTCCTTCCCTCAGCCAGGGCATTGAAAATGGGTCATGGATGGGTATTCCAGCATGGCAATGACCCAAAGCACATGGCCAAGGCAACAAAGGAGTGGCTCAAGAAGAAGCACATTAAGGTCCTGGAATGGCCTAGCCCAGGGGTAGGCAACCTTGGCTCTTTTATGACTCGTGGACTTCAACTCCCAGAATTCCTGAGCCAGCCATGCTGAGGGGAAGGGGAGAGGTTTCCAAGCTGAGCCATGCTGGCTCAGGAATTCTGGGAGTTGAAGTCCACGAGTCATGAGTGGGCCATAGTTCCCCCATGCTGGCTCAAGAATTCTGGGAGTTGAAGTCCACCAGTCATAAAAGGGCCAAGTTTGAAGACCCCTGGTTTAAATATTTAAATATTTTTCCTCACGGTCATGTAATCAAAATTCAGGCATTTGGGCAGGAGTAGGCAACCTTGGCTCTTTTATGACTCGTGGACTTCAACTCCCAGAATTACTCAGCCAGCCATGCTGAGGGGAAAGGGAGAGGTTTCCAAGCTGAGCCGTGCTGGCTCAGGAATTCTGGGAGTTGAAGTCCACGAGTCATAAAAGAGCCAAGGTTGCCTATCCCTGGCTTAGCCAGTCGCCAGACCTTTATCCCATAGAAAATCGGTGGAGGGAGCTGAAGATTCGAGTTGCCAAACGTCAGCCTCAAAACCTTAATGACTTGGAGAGGATCTGCAAAGAGGAGTGGGACAAAATCTCTCCTGAGATGTGTGCAAACCTGGTGGCCAACTACAAGAAACATCTGACCTCTGTGATTGCCAACAAGGGTTTTGCCACCAAGTACTAAGTCATGTTTTGTGAAGGGGTCAAATACTTATTTCACTCATTACAATGCAAATCAATTTATAACTTTTTTGAAATGAGTTTTTCTGGATTTTTTTGTTGTTATTCTGCCTCTCACTGTTAAAATAAACCTACCATTAAAATTATAGACTGATCATTTCTTTGTCAGTGGGCAAACGTACAAAATCAGCAGGGGCTCAAATAATTTTTTCCCTCACTGTAAACTATTTCTCTTCTGCTTTCTGCCAGAGATCATGCAGAAAAATGAAAGGCCATGAGTGAAGTATTTAGCTTTAGAAAATAAGGGTGATCCAGCAAGTATGCAGAACGGAGACTCCTTCCTCTAATAAGGAAGAATCTATTTCTTACCAAACATTTGCTCAGATAAGGAAAGATGCTGTAAATCAAATGAGTTTTTGTAGGTATCTCTCTGCTCTAGGCATCATATGAAAATGTTTTTTTTTCCACACAGAATTTAAATTATAGTTTACTTTCAATTTAAGGCTGCTGTTCAGCAGCAACGCTTAAGCTGCACTATAAAAAGCATGGCTATAGTTTTGAAATAAATTGACCACAACAGAATTGCCAAATCCAAGGCACACAACATTGCAGAACCCAAGAACCCAAAGCATAAAGAAATATGCTTATAACGAAATTTACTTCTTAAAAATTCTACATATTTTAGGACATTCATCATGTTGATTTGCTATCATGTTACTGCTGACACTGTTTTTGTAAGCATGAAAGCTGTTTATGATTTGGCTGGAACAAAAATTCTAGAGCAAAATTACTCATTGAAGATAATCTTTTCCTCTGTCCATTAGCTTTATGCAGCCCCATTCATGAGATGCCTTTTACAGTGCAATCCTTACATGTCAGTTTAGAAATCGGTTCCATTTTAATTAAATTAGGACCTACCAGATAACATAAACTACATTACCCAGAAGGCCATCCCTTAAGGAGACAGTTCTTAATTCCTAAGCTAGCTATATACTCTGAACAGATAGCTATATACTCTGACCAGCACAGTGTATACAACTGCAATAAGAATAGCTCATATGCTCATTGCTGGAGATGCCTGCATATATGCAATAACGAATGATACAAACTGAACACAGATATATGATATATATGTGCACCTCTTTCAGGAAAAAGAGTTTTTCTGAACTGGGTATAATGACCCTATAGCAAAATCAATGCAGTTGCATTACTGTATAAATCCCTGGGAAATGAATGTTTGAGTATTGATTTCAGAGTAATATATTTGTTTAGGACCTTCAATCATATCCTAAACTTTCTGTTCTTTCTTGAACAATGGGGTGCATCTGTCTTTTCTGCAGTCATCTCTTATAATCTGCCTGATCTGCCATCCCTAGTTACTAAAGTGTGTAAATTGTACAGTGCTGAAAATCAAAAGTGTTGCAATATATGGAGCATGAGTTTGTTCAAAGTAAATGATTACAAATGGGACAGACATGTATGACTGAACATGTGAAAACATATGACAGATTTTAAGGTCTCTTCACCCCACCCCCGAAACAACATTCCCGCCTTATTCCTTTATCAATTCTGAATTTTTAATCAATTCTTAATCTTTAATTCATATATTTTACCTACTGTGGAATAAAAATCGGTTATGTAGAGGACATTAGGTAAATATTGGTTTGTGGATATAAAACATTAAACTAATTTAGTAAACTGAAACCAATAAGCTATCCACAACTCCCTTGCTGATTTCAATGAACGTGTTCACAGAATGACCACATCTGACTCTGATTGGTTAAATAGGATTAAAAAGATATAGTTCCTATCAAATCAAACTCAGTTCCTGGTGATTATATGGATATGTCTGTGTTGTCTCCTTGGTAACATAAAGAACTGGTTTGCTATTGTTTTCTTCTGGGATGTTTCTTCAATTTCTCAGTCTAACATACATAGTATATATAATGTAATAGAAGCAGCACATCGCACATCGCTCAAATTTGCAAAGCACGCTACAGTTATTAGTACTTCCTTCATTAAACACAAAACGTGTCCCAAGGCCTCATTTTAATGCCAGAGTTCAATGTTAGAACATCTGATCAAATAATGAATGCTTCCATGCATACTTATGTAAGATAAACACAAAAATAATACAGATGCTGCTTTAAAATTGACATATAAAGAGAAATATTTTGTTCAGGTGCTGTCAGAATATTTGTTTATAGGAATCATATTTGTAAATGAAAGTAATGTAGGTATCACAAGTTTGTTCTGAGTGAATTAAAAGCTGATAGCTAATGACATTTCATATTTGTACAGTTTTATTTATAAATTATTAATATACATATCAGTAAGCAATTTCACCCTGTTTGGGACTCATTCAATGTATATTGCCACAGATCTTCCTATGGAGTTCAAACATTCAGTCAAGAATTGAAGTATGGAATTCAGGGGAATTGAACTGCTGTTCACATACTTACTGGACTTTTACATTCAGTCTGTGGAATGGGTCTACTTGCATATTTGAAATTTACTTTGTTGCAATCTGAAGTCACCTATCCAAGCTAAATCAGGTGTGAGTTCAAAGGCTCACTCTTTCCTCTGAAATCCATGCCCAATTAGTAATTATCCTTTATTATTAGTCTTCTACAGTACAGGCCATACTTGACTTTCGACCACAATTGGGACCAGAATTTCTGTTGCTAAGCGAGGTGGTTGTTAAGTGAGTCATGCCCAACTTTATGACCTTTTTGGCACGAGTGTTAAGTGAATTACAGCAGTGGTTATGAGAATCATGCCATTGTTAAGTGAATCCAGTTTCCCGCCCTGACTTTGCTTATTAGAAGCCAGCTGGGAAGATTGCAAATGGCAATCACACGACCCTGGGACAATGCAGTCATCACAGAACAGGTCAGTTGCCAATTGTCTACATTTTGATTATGTGACGGTAGGAGATGCTGCAATAGTTGTAAGTATGAGGACTGCTTGTAAGTCACTTTTTTTTTTTCAATTCCACTGTAACTTTGAACGTAGGCTAAACGAATTGTTGTAAGTCGAGGATTACCTGTACTAAATTTATTTGATTCATTCTTCGTCTGCAACAAAGTCCTGTTCAAAAAAGTCAAATCCTTATAACTGACCTTAGATCTAATGAATCTTTTCTGATTTTACAGAGACTGGGCAAATACATTATGTTAGATGGCAACAAAAATGTGAACATTCAAATGAAAGTTAATTTTAAAAAAAAAAGGAAAATACTTACATGGCATAGACAGTGAACATGTTAACAGATATACTCTCATGCTTACATTGGGCATTTACCTAATGATCCATGAGAAGCTGATGTCCCCAGGAAAGTATTTTCTGATTGGCTTAAGTGTCCCTGGGACTGATGGAGGAAATGCGATGATAAGCTGACCGGTGGAGAAGGAGAGGCAGAGTGAAAGGAGGCAGAACTTCCAAGGGACCCAGGGATATTTACAGGAGCAGAACTTTGCAGCAAACTCCCACCTGGACAAAGAACACACAGAAAGTATGGGAATGTAGAAGCCATGAATTATGAGTGGAAGCACAGCACAGGAATTTGAACAGCAGGTGTTTGCTTCACTCTCTGCACCAGTAAAAGGATGGGTGAATCCAGAATATTCCTCTAATCTATATCTTTCTACACCTTCGGAGCTGGTATTATAAGAATTGTCCCTAGGGCCAAGGAAGGTTAAAAAGTAAACTATTGAATGTTAGCTGCAAAACACTGGGAGCCAGGGTTAGGATTAGAGTTAAGAATCCGAAATTCTCCAGTATGCAAAAGACAGTTTACAATCTACATAAGAGATAGTTAGATAGCTGATTTTCAATTCTTGTAGCTCCATAATGACACTATTTATATACATGTTTAAATTAATTTTCTACTATCCCCATTATTTGTTAGTGCAAGAAACTACATTTCTACGACAACTATAGTATCTAGTAATGATTATCATGATTATATATAATAATTAGAGTATAATTATGATTTATGCTTTTTTTCAGAAGATATGTGTTCACCAAATCAGATAGATTAAGAAGTACATTTTTCAAGGACAGTCATTTGAATTAAATGGCATCTCCACTTTTTATAGACTGTGCCAAAGATATTCTTGCAAGCTGAACCTCCCATTCCACAGTAAGGGGATAAAAGTTTGTTAAGAGACAGCAAATGGGACAGAGTTCTGTATTCAGGCACTGTGCCAAAGGGAAAAAAATGGAGCTTAATTTCTACATGCAGAAACACACTCATAAGATGTTCTAGCAGAAGAGATCAGTAAACTGGTGGCACAGCAATTATTTATGCTTCATCTACAGGAAAGGGAGCAGAGTAAATCACCTTCCCATTTGTCTAGAGGACTCCCAGTTGCATGGCACAGAAAAGACATCAACCTCACTAGTCCATGAAAGTTGTTAGTGTTGCAAGAATACTTTTTTCTCAATTTTAATAATGCTTGAGAACACATAGCACTGCCTGTGAAAGCTTCAAATTAAAGGGTCTCCTAGGTGGCACAGAACTTCCCATCCTTCTTTTACCCTAAAAGTTGCAACAGTAGATCAACCAACATGTTCTTCTGGCTATGGTATACTGAGTTGGCTTGCATGACGACGAAGTTTTCTGATAATCTGAAAAACCAATTTCTCATTCATATATACGAGACTAAAGAAGATGCTGCTTATGGGAACAAGGCCTAACTGTAAAGGAAAAACAGCACTGGGCCACATTCTCCATATTTATTTCCAAACTGATCTTAGCCCAAACCAATATGGCCATAGCATTTCTGCCAAATGGTTTTTTTTATGTTGAATACTATCTCCTCAAAGTAGAACCGATTTTTGAGAAAGCAGACCTGAAAATATGCTGGGTAGGCTAATTCTAATTTGCACAGCTACTCAAATCAGAAGCAACAACACTAAAAAAAGGATATGCTGAAATAAAACTATGTGTTGATGAAAGACAGTTGCAAACTGTTTTGCAATAGAAAAACATCTGATACCAAGGTGGTTTAAGCTAATGGGATGTGCCTTGAAAAAAAAGTGTAGTGGCAGCAGTGAGCAAGGCACTTACCAATTTGCACACAGTTTCAGTTCACAAAAAGAAAAGTTTTGTCAATTACTAACGGGATATGTACACTTAGAATATAGCAAGGTTGCATAGACTATATTCACTTGAAAACAAGACATGGGGCAAAAAAAAAAAAGAAGACACTGGTTTGAAATGACCACATACAAGGGATGAGATACACAAGCGGTAGTTTGTCAATGTGTGGCGACATGCCTTGCCATGATCCTGTGACAGCAGAACAGTGATACCAATCCAATTTGTTTCCTATTATTTAAACCGATTCCCCCCCCGCTTCCATGATAGTCTTGTGTCAGAATTTTGTGAACATGTTTAGTGTGCCACTGTTAAGATATTGTAAAGCAAAATAAGCCATGCCTATCTTGTAAACATAATTGGGACATCAGAAACCAGTGAAAGATATTTCCAATTTGCTAACCAATGAGGGTCCTTTGGCTCTAAGGTCTCCCATTGGCTGTTAACCAATATGTCATGTAAGGGCTGGTTCTGAGAGCTTGCTAGGCTGCTTCAGCCAGCTGATGGGACAAACCCTGCTTGGCAGAAGATCAAAGAAAGCTCTGTTGCTTTCATGTACCTATCATGATGCCACTCGTGTGGGGCACCGAGCTGCTGTCAAATGTCTTCTCCAGGGCAGCCACTCCGAATTCGTTCAGGTCCAGGTCATCCAAGGCAGACTCTGCCAGACAGAGGCACCAATTATATATTACAAAAAGGACCAACAACTTCAAGGGAAAGGGAAGTCCAAAGAGTTCACAAAGAGATGTCACTGCTCTGGACTGGAGAATCTACAATGCAAGGCTGCCAATAGTTGTTTAAATGAATCAGCTTTCAATATTGTTTCCTGTGGCCTGATCTGAATCCTAGGTCTTTTCAGCATCAGGCTGATCCCATAGATTGACACTGGAAATAACAGCAATGCAAAACAGATCTCCCTGCACACCTGCTGTACAGCTTGACCTTGGGTAGAAGTACATCCAGGGTTGGCTTTAATAACAGGTGCCCGTCCCAAGTCACCTGGCAACCTAGGTGTCCATGATGCATAGTGATTGGAATTCACTATTGCTATAGTTAGGAATTCCACTGTGGAGAGCAACTTGGATTGCAATTAATGACAGAGGAGATGACAATAGGAATGAGGTGCAAGTATGACAGTGCAAAGAAGGGAAGTGTGTATGGCAGTAATATAAGAGGTTGTGTGTGGGGGAGGGAAGGGGAAAATGAATGAGCATATCCTATGAAACAGGCTATAGCCAGCAGTGGCCCAATAATGAGCCAGCCATGTAGCACGGACACTGCCAGTTGGGGATGAGATGGAGCAAACCTGCACAGGATCATCCCTGGGGGTATTCCTAGCCAATGTATTATGTCTTTTGTCAAATGGTGTCTCATAAAGCATCGCATGGGGTTGTGCTCTATTCGTGACATTCTTGTGGTTTCAGAAAGGTAAGACTATAATATAAATAATAAACAATTTTAGATGCTGAAAATGGATGTTCCCCTCCCCCTCCTGCATAGTTTATCTTCAGTTTTGAAGTACTGCCTAGAACAGTGGTGGCGAACCTATGGCACGCGTGCCAGAGGCGGCACTCAGAGCCCTCTCTGTGGGCACGCGCGCAGTTGCCCCAGCAGAATTCGCCAGAGTAGCGAGCACGTGGTATTTGGAAGTGACGGCAGGAAGTGAGCGAGCAAGGGGTGTTGGCCCCCAGGGTTGCCCCGGAGATGGCAAGGGACTGGCCCCCACTGCCCTGGCCCCGGCCACGCTCACCCAGTCTGCCGTGACCACTGCAGCCACACCCACCCAGTGGGCCACGCCCCCCCACCCCCCTTAAGGGCACCACAATACTGATGCAGCCCTGGCACTTTGCGATAAATAAGTGGGTTTTGGGTTGCAGTTTGGGCACTCGGTCTCTAAAAGGTTCGCCATCACTGGCCTAGAAGGTTACTTCTTGAGCATTTAGAAAGCAATAAAAGAATTTCAGATTTCCTCAGCAATTTCCTATTAGAAAATGTTAAGAAAGTACCCATCTAGAATTAAGAAACATATCCCCCCCCAACAGATCCTTCATAAGTGTTTTAATTTAGTGGCAAGAGTTGTCTCTTTTATTTGTATCATTCCAGGCCTGTAACAGAACATCAACAGTTAATAAAAATGGTAACAGATTACCTGGAAAATAAGAGACGTGTATCAAACAATGCTAAATATCAATATTAATAATAATAATAATAGTCAATTGCAAAAGGCTTTACTCGGAAAAGCATACATCCTGTGATGATATCTTTAATATTATAAAATAATATTCGCCTCTCCCAGGTCCTTGGGAAGGACTCAATGGACAAAAATGCCAAATCCACTTAAAAAATCTGGTTGACTGTGCAATCAACCATAAAAATGACAATAATACATTAAAAAAGAGAGAAATGACCATCCTTGCACAATGCACACTCTTATTCTTCTTGGAAAGTCTTAGAAATTTAAATATGGTAACATATGAACCCTTAAACAGAAATGTAAATAAAATCTTTTAAAAATCTGCATTTGAAATGTTTTGTTATTGCTATCGTGAATGGAAATGTTCATCTTGTTAATATTTATAAAATAGCTGCTCAGTAACAGATTATGCATGCCACATGACTGAATTTTTAGTGGATTGGCCCACACAATGGTACACTGAGCCAATTTGGTGACTTATGAGTTTAGAAAATATAGGATAAGATGAAGAACATCAAACAAGATCTACACACACATATAAACAGAAATTTAGGAGCAATCATGACCTTTCATTGACTATCCTGCCACATTGTCTGCTCTAGCAAAAACAGCAGAGCCATGTCACAATCCAATAAGTTTATTGTTGTATAAAAACTTATACCACAATAAATTTATTAGCCTTTAAGAAGATAAAGGACTCCTTGTGGTTTTTGCCATATTTTTACAGAATTCAGCTATGGGAGCTATTATGTAAGATTGTTCTATAATTTAATTTATGAAATATGAAAGAGTTCATATTAAATGCAAGTCATCAGCCAAGTCACAAAGCAATAAAGCATAATTTCTACTGTAAGTTCTCTAAATAAAACAACCAAAGGCTTCCCACCCATAATGGATATTCTTCTTCTGGATTCCCTGCACCATCAATGTGCATAGGCAGTATTACCTATCACGGACTCCACAGTGTCACTAGTTGGGTAGAAAGGAAGGGCATTGGCATTCATGCCTGGTACACTGCTGGTGCCTGCTGGGCTTGGTGGTGTTGCTGCCAAACTAGAAGTAATGCTAGAGGAGATGCTAGATGTCAATGGGCTGCCAACTGGAAGAATCCCTAATATATCCTGAAAGAGGAAAATACATTCATGTATTGATGTATTGAAAATACACTCATGTATTCCTATGATGCAACAGAATATTCAGAGAGAAGTAATGATATATTGTCATAAATAAGTTATTTCTTCCTAACATTTATATCTCACCCTTCAATTCTAAGGTACACTCAGGGCAGCTGATTGGTTCTTAGCATTTAATACAACACAATACAACACAACACAATAAAGACTGTTTGGGACTCTTTTAGAACAGAATAGCAGAGTTGGAAGGGACCTTGGAGGTCTTCTAGTCCAATCTCCTGCTCAAGCAGGAAACCATGTAACATTTCAAATGGCTGTCCAATCTTTTGTTAAAAACCTTTAGTGTCGGAGCCCTCACAATTTCTGGAGGCAAGTCGTTCCATTGATTAATTGTTAACAGTTCTTGTATATTGTCAGCTGCATCACATCACCAAGTTATATAATTCTTGATGACTGTGTGTAGTCTTGCCATTTGAATATCAAAGGAGGCTCAAAGTAAAGAAGATTTGTAAACTGCAGTGAACCTTCCTCCAATAATCTATATAGTTCAAGTAGTATTCAAAAGTTCTGACTTTATACTTTTCTATTCACACCAACTTCAATTTTTTTTGTTTTATCTGAAAGAAACCAGACTGATTCTTAAACACTTAGGAAAGTGTCAATACCCTTTCAACCCTCATTAGCTTTCCACATATTCCACCAACTGAAATCTACACGAGACTATATGAACCTCTAGAAACTAAACAGCATCCTCTGGAGTAGCATACCTGCTTGGGTTGTAACAGAGGTTGTTCTTGGGTTCTATGTTCCATGGAATGGGATTTGATTTTTGCCTGCTGCAGTAAGTAGAAGGGGGAAAAAAACCAATAAATACTACAGAAATTATCAACTTCTTCAGATGTTTACAGCACTGCCTCTCTTATTTTGTCGCTTTTGGTAACATCAGGTTCTACAAAGAAAAGGGCTAGAGTGCTTCATGTAAGGCACTCCTGAAACTAGCAATTGAAAGATACTGTACCAACATTTTCTCTTTTCTTTAACATCTATTTTTTTAAAAACTAGAAGAGATGGGATAAATGGTAGGGAAATACAAGGGGATAACAAATTGAAGACAATGTTGTTTGTATACTTTAAAAAGTTTTGTAAAGGAGAAGGAAAATCTGGATATGCTATGCATAAAGATACAAATTACTTTAGAAACAGTATGATTTACTTCAAAGTAAACATTGTTTCCTTTGCATAGGATAATACTACTGTATTATCAATGAAATGGGCTTGAGGTATGGCCATAATTGTTGAAGAAAAAACAGTTAATTTAATTGAAAACAATTAATAGGAACCACTGAGCCATTATTATAACCTGGTGTAGCACTGATAAATATATATCAACAGAAGTAGAAAGAGGATTTGCCTGGAGCAGGCATCTTCAAACTTGGCCCTTTTATGACTTGTGGACTTCAACTCCCAGAATTCCTCGGCCAGGCATGTTGGCTGAGGAATTCTGGGAGTTGAAGTCCACAAGTCATAAAAGGGCCAAGTTTGAAGACCCATGCTATATGCCGTATGCTGCTTTGAATTTTTGACAAAATAATTTAACTGAAATAATTGACACATGCCGGATAGAATAGAATCTATATTTATTTATTTATTTATTTATTTATTTATTTATTTATTTAACATGGATTTATATGCCGCCCTTCTCCCTATAGGACTCAGGGCGGCTTACAGCATATTAAAACACTTAAAACATCATCCCCCCATAAAAACCTGTTAAAAACCAAATATTTTTTTCGCTGTATAATTAGTTAAAATTAAATTAAGAATTGTCCCTGTTTAAAAATTCTCCCTAGGCCAGACCCGCTTGTTG